CGATATCCTGTTTTAGGGTGGCTCCTTTCCCTTAAAGGGTTCTAGGGAGCCACCCTTGTATGTGCTAGTAAACTGTGTGTCTCCATAAACACTCAAGCACTCCACTCCTCCCTGATCCATGCTCTTCCCTTCTCCAAGCTAGTAAATGGACGACTGCTTAAGACTGTGCTCTCCTTTGTGATCTTGTATTGGACAGGAATCCAAAGAAGCCAAGCTGAGAGAGGTGGAGCCAGCTGTTTGGAAACATGATGTCTGTAAGGCCCCATTCACACCTGACCGTTTTGTAGCGCGTCCTACGCTCGATGAACGCTCTACAAAACGGTCAAAAAAATAAATAGCACTGTAGTCAATGGCCTCGTTCCCACCTGTCCGTATTTCCGCCCGTCCCGAACGCACTACAAAACGGCCCACGCATGAAAAGGTCCCGGAGCGTTTTTTTGCTGCGTATTGGTCAGTTTTGTAGGGCGTTTTCCATTAGTATACTGCCAAGTAGCCTTTCGGAATCGCGGTAAAAAAACCGCGTGACGGTCGCGCGACAGACGCGCATATTACAATACGCATAGGTGTGAATGGGGCCTTAGTGCTTGGGAAAAAAATAAAGAAATACTTTGCTGGGCATTAAATATTTTTTTGATCTGGATTCATTATAAAAAAAAAAAAGGGTGAGTGTTTAATACTTATTAAAAAGTTAAAAGTTACAGTAGGCCCTGGAGCTCGTATCAACTTAGACACTTTCTAATGGCGATTACGTGGTCCCAGGACCTGACCAGACACCTTACTGTGTAGAGGGAAAGTCCCCTCCCGCCATGCTATTTCTCTGATTAATATAGAATATAGTCCACCCTTCCTGCTTAAGAGACAGGATGAACTGGGCCTGCAGTTCTCTGCCCAACAAAAAGAGCAGATCTTATCTCTAGCACATAACTCCTCTATTGCAAATAAACTCCAGGAAATGGAAAATTTTGTCTAGGGGTATAAGGTCCTGTGGATACTACCCAAGATGAACATCTCACTCCCCTCGGTTTGCTGGAGTTGTGGCTGTGATCCTTGCACCATGATCTACATTTTCTGGTTTGAAACTTCAACTATTTTGGAACTCGGTACATGCGATAGTTAAGCAGCTTACCATGGTGGATTTAGGGTGCAATTTGATTAATGCAGCGAGAGCCTGTATTCCGTTACTGTGGAAGCAGATCCTTCCCCCCACAACACGGTTATGGTTCTCCAAGATAAAGATTACTTCTACTTGGAGATGACAACTGGTTAGGTGTGCCGCAGTTTACTACCGTCATGAAGACTATATAATGCTTGTCAACGACTCTTTTGTTTTCCTTTGGAACAAACAGCTGATTGCCTTCCCTCCTACCTTTTCCTATCAATGTTTCTGTTCATTCGTGAAATTAAGTGTTTTGGAGGTTTTCAATCACAAAAAGTTTTATATACAGGGTTATTAAGGGTGAAATGTTTGGAGAAGTGAACAATCTAGGACAATATAGCTGAACTGGAATATGAGCTGTATTGGAGAATTTTTCCAGTTTGGCTATGTTTCCCTAGATTGTTTACTTCTCCTGCCTCCTCCAAACTCTTCACCTTTTAGTGAATAACCCTGATAGTCTTTTTTTAGTACTTGGAAGATTGATTTTTTTTGTTGTCTCCTCATTCCAATGCTTGCTTCTTCAACACTTAGAGTCAGAGGGGAATTTAATTATGTTTTACATATTTAATTATCAAATACTGTGGTGTATGTCAGTTCATTAAAGATGCATAGGGGAACTTTACCGCGTTTAGATATGTGGTTGGTATTTATAGTGAACATGAACCGCTGTCTGGTTGCTCTTCCTTTTTCTTTGCAGTAACACTGTTTTATGATGCTAAGTTTATGAAAAGAAAAAAGAAAAGAATTGAAAAAAAAGACGCACAGGGGAGTGTGAATAATGGATGTTTTTTGACAAAATATTTGTGCAGTACAAAAAAATCTAAAAAATATAGTCAGCATGTACAGAGTGTTAATTGGTTTTGTAGATTACATGCTTAATTTACCAAAATATTATAGTTATTTTTAAATTGCTATTAGTTCAGCTAGTCTCAGTTATTCCTCACTGCAGACAGAAGCAGTCAAGAGCCTTACCGGGTTGTTACCTGCAAGAGCCCCACTATGCCTGCTTGTTTTTCAGAGCTTTGCCCAAATTAGTCCATTTTGGATACAACATTTGCTTAAAAGAGAAAAGAAAAAAATTACATTGCATTATATCGTAAAATTAGCTAGCCTATTTTCCTGCTAAGTCAAAATACTAGATACTAGGATAGAGAAGGAGAAAAGTTAGTAACTTTTTAAGGTTCAAATGCTGGCCAATTGTGGTATACGTTTTTACAGCTTGGGGTCCCAAGGTGACAGGGGTCTTAGAGACCCCTGGTTTCTTCATAAAGGACCTGTCATTGAATGTTGGCTATTACATAAGGGGTTTGTTAGCCCCCTATGTGATAACAATAAAGTTATGTGAAAAACACCCCAAAAAATGTAAGTCTCCCGCCCCAGCGTGCATGCAGATACAAACGTAAATATGCGTTGGGTGCGCCTACGTGCAAAAACAACGATTACGCCACACATGTTACATATCACCGTGAACGTGGGAGTGTGAGCAATAATGTTAGGGTCAATAATCACTAAACTGATGAGCGGTAAAACCTTTTAAAGCATCGCCTATGGCCAATTTTAGAGCAAGTGCTTAATAGACTTGCTTTTATTTTTTTCTTCAACAGTGCTTCTGCTCTACCCCAAAATCATCTTCCTTGGCAGACTGCTGAAAGTGAGGACCGCTGGGTTTTTTGTGAGAGCAGGGGTCTAGCTCCAGTAGCCTAACTGTTCCCCCTGTACAATCACAGCTACTGTGCCCCAATCAACAATGCTCACACTCTCTGCAAATTGAAGCACAGTAGTGATGACTTGGCAGGGTGTGTGTTGGACTGTGCTGATTTGTTATCAGCCTTATGCAGGGTTGGGCAGAGTGCCCCCTTACAATAGTTGCAGCCATCGGAGTTCCCTTTTACATTAACCACTTCTCGGCTGGCCATTGTAAAAAAAAATTCTGACACGGAGCCGTGTCAGATCTCTCTGCAAGTGGCCAGAGCCAGCCGTAAGATGACGGCTGGCTCCGCCCAGCTGTCAGAAGCAGACTGTCGGCCGGCCGCTCGGCCAGCTTCGGCTTTCAGCGCGGCTCAGCCGAGCCGAGGCATATGCGTTCGGCTCGACTGAGCCACTCGGCCACGTTCGGGAGCTGTACGGGCTATAGTGAATAGCACGTACAGCACCCCTTCAGTTCTACTGAACCGAAGGGGTCCTGGGGCCGAAGCTAGCCGAAGGATCGGCCGAAGCTACGGCTAGATCCTTCGGCAGCTTCGTGAATAGACCACATAGTATGTGATTGATAAAAGTCACTCTTAATATCTGGTTAATTGTGTCTCTCTTAATGGATACCCAATATAGAGGCATACAAAGAGTGGAGTATAAACACTGTGGTATTTCCTTATATACTAAAATTAGTATGTTCATAATTTGGCTTATAAAAGTAGGAAAACATTTCTATTCCCCTTGAGGGATTATTTCAGAGGGCCATAAATGTCTTGATGTGTGGTCAACAAAATACTCCTCTAGATCAGTGGTTCTCAACCTGTGTGATGGAGCACCATCAATATGTGCATTGCTTGTACAGCTCCCTTGCGCTCCCTGTAGAGGTGCCGGGGCGTCAGAATGTGATGTCCCTCCGGTCCAGGCACCTTTTGATGGAGCCATACCCCCAGCCCACCCCATTTCAAGCTGACACTCAGCGCCGGGCAGCATATTTTGAACTGCTACTCAGTGCGAGAACTGACAGTGTTGTGCTATGGAGAGGCTGAGGAGCCTCTCACCAAGACCAGTGCAAGGCATGCAGTGACCCACTAAACACAGGGGTAGTGACCCACCAGTTGAGAACTATGGCTCTAAATGATATATTGAAACAAAGGCCAGATGGTAAAAGTAAGATACTATATAGCTTCAAAGGTAAGTGCCAAAAGTATGGTGTTTTATAGCCATAATATGAATATATATAGGAGGGTGACTCAATAAATAGTAATTCGTGATATCCTCTGGCACTGAACTACTTGATGTAATATTGTCTCGTGCTGGTAAAGGTAGAGGAAAGTGGTTGAAGCTGGTAAAAGTTTAAACGCATGGAGGCTTATTTCCAAAGACTATACCACCCATATTCCACCATAGCTATCTCATCATTAAAATGTGACATAAAGCATTGCAACAGTTTGGATTTCAAAAGTTCACTATCTTGCACGTTTCCATATTTAATACTTTTGCATAAGTAATAGTATCATAAAGATACCTCAATCACACACCAGACCAGTATGGGTGCAGGGTGCTAGCAATCACTGGATGGTGCCACAGCAATTGAGTAAAATAATATTTTGCCAGCACACATTAACCTTCTGCAAAGAGAACCAGCTTTATTGAGATTGGTTCAGCATGTCATACAGCAAAGTGGAGGAGAAGCAGTGGGTGCTATATGCTGAGTTTTGGGTCACGGGAGGACACAGTATATGTCCTCCCGTGACCCTGAGGAAAACTATGGGAAAAAATGTTTCCCCATAGTTCTCTAAGTGAGGTCTCTGAAATGCAAACTTATTGGGGGGAATTTATCAAAACTGGAGCAGTTGCCCATGGCAATCAATCCGCTTCTCTCTTCAGTTTGTTCAAGTTAAGATTTGAAAATGAAAGAGAGAAGCTGATTGGTTGCCATGCTTATCTGCTCCAGTTTTCGTTTGCTCCTGTTTTAATAAATTCCCCTCAGTGTGTTTTACATCCATAGGAGTGGTACAATAGCTGGCAGCTAGCATTTTCAGGTCAGAAATGGCACTTGTATATATATTATATTTCTCTTCTCCGCTTTAATTATTGGTGTTCCTGTCTAATGTAATGTAATGTAATATTTTCTTCTCCAGAATATAACATGATGGATAATGAAAAGGAAATTTTGAAGAATGATGAAAATGACATATGGGAGAATATTGAATCCAATAGGCATATGCTTAGCCGGTACATAAATCCTGCAAAGTTAACACCCTACTTACGACAATGTAAGGTCATTGATGAGCAAGATGAGGAAGAGGTTCTCAACTCTCTATTATTCTTATCCAGGACTACCCGTACAGGTAAGTTTGCCAAAGTTATACCTAGCAAGCTAAGCAGTTAATAAAACTACATGTCAGAATTCAGTCTTACGGAGATCTGTTCATACTCATTAAAATGGTCATTAAGTACATTGTGCTTTACGTATTAAAAAGTAGATACCACATACAAAAAGATTACATATTTAATGGAATATTACCTTTGGATTTTGTCCACTGAAAATTCACACATTTGACAAAAGATTCATATTTTAAAAATATGTGAATCTTGGGTATAAGTTGGGTGAAAAAAAAATTGATAGTCTCTTTAAATCGGTTCTTGCACCAAAAACACAAGGTCTACTTATTGACAGTGCTTCCCTCCCCCGGTGACAAAAGCTGCACATAATTAATTTAAAGAAAAATACGGCAGATAAAAAAATTATGAAATATATTTAACTTCCTCCGTCTTCTGCCCGCAGCAGAACCTAGGCAGGGGAAATTTGATCCTCCTTCCTTTTGGCGAGATCTGAGGGAATGCTAAGTAGCCCAAATCTCAGGATAACACATTTCTGTGCTGTGTGTGGGCATTTTCTTGTGAGATTGTAGCTACTTTACATTTCCCTGGGTGTTGCCAGAAGGTGGATGACAAAAGGTGTTCCTAGTCCTTTTGCCGCCTGAGGCAGCGTGGGGGGTGCACGAGGATACACAACTGCAGAGCCTGACTCTTAACAACCTGGAACACTCTGGCCAGCATCCCCAGCTCCTGGCAACCAGTGATGTCACTGGTTAGGGTGGGGCCCTTACACATTTCCCTGCCCGGCTCTTAGCAACATGGGATGCTCTGGCTGGAATGTGGGATGCTCTGGCTGCAAAGGGGGTGGCAGGCACAGTGCAAACATTGTACAGTAGAGCGGCCATGCCACTCTGCCTACCACACCCCCACATGACCCAAAGAGATGCAACAGCCTCAGGCTGCCTCATTAAATGGAAGGCCCTATGGATGACGTCACCTCCAGCAGCACGGAAGTCTTGAAAAAGGTAAGCATATTTACTAACTTTTTCCTTACAGGCTTTTATATTTTTTGCAGCATTTTAGCACTGGGGGAAAAGTTAAGTCTTCTGTGTGGCCTGACACTTCAGTTTTGAATATGTTAATGGACACATCTATAACAAGAACACAAAAACATTTTTTAAAGGGAAATTATAATGGTTTTTGTTTAACAGCATTTCGCTTTAGTTTAATTTTAATTAAATCCCAACTAAAGCCAAACATTTTTTTGGAAAAGCGTAGAAGATATAAAACTCCCTATCTACTGCTTATTTTTGTCTGTAGCCCCATTTAAGTGATTATAAAGCATTTAAAAGTTTATTGAATGTATTAAAAAATAAAAGAGTATAGATTATATTATTATTATTTTCAAAGAAGTGTTCGGAGGTAAGGCACACACGGGGGCTATTGCTTTAAAGTGACACTAAACTCTGGAGTCAAATCTTAAAAATGCATTCGAGGAACCCTAATTATTAACATAAAGGTATCTTATTTGTGTATCACTCAGCTGTAGATCCTCAAATCATCTCTGAATTTGTGCTGACACTGTCCTTCCTTCTGGAGGGTGGCTACTTTTGTTCCCCATGGTCCCTGTGTGTTGTACAGTAGCCACCGCTTCAAGCTCGCTCCCGTGATGGACCAAAATAGTTTACCAATTTGTAATGAGACTGTAATCTATCACAGGAGTGAGCTTGAAGCGGTGGCTACATTACAACACACGTAGGGACCATGGGGAACAAGAGTACCCACACTCTAGAACATAGGACAGTGTTAGCACTAATTGAGAGATGATTTGAGGATCTACAGCTGAGTGATACACAAATAAGCACAATTTTTGGTATTAGTTAAGGTATTTGAATGCATTTGTAAGCTTTACCTCCTGAGTTTAGTGTCACTTCATGTTTATAGTACCAGGGAAATTAATTGCATGCTCAGCACACAAGGAATTCTAATGCGCAATAACGGGTTAAAAGGTGCAGAAGAATCTGTAAATCCCAGGAGTGCAGCCAATTGATCCAGCACCCAGTGGTAAGATGGCAGACACTGAGGTAGTACCGTAGTTGTAGTGCATGAGGCTGCCTCAGAATCGGGTAGCAGGGCAAAAAGAGATATTGATATGCATCCCAAATAGGTCAAAAATAAATAACTGGGCAAAGAAATGGTCCAGTCTCTAAAGGGAGATATTATGTTGATTAAAAAGAAAAAAAATAGTACGTATTTATGCAGTGAATGCAAAAACAGACATTTGTTTTAGGGGGGAAAATAGAGATGATTAACTTTTTTATACCTTTGCATTGCACTGGTTGCTATTTTTACTTTTCTTTATCATTATAGTAACCCTGTGTTTGCATTTGAAGTGAAATGGGCAGCAGATATGAAAAGCAGGCATATTTACACTCATATGCCCCTATCAGCCATTTTGTTGTTGTTATGTACTCCAGCCTTTCCTCTCCTTAGGTCAGTAAGGCTACCAGTAATAGTGATGAGCCAGTAAACAACAACAGATGCTGCTTGAGATTTTCATAATAGAGTATACTGGGGCTCCTGGGGGGCTCTGCAGTATATGCAGGCTTTAGATACTTGCTTTTCAGCTGATTGTTTAGAATTTATAAAGTGACTTTTCTCATTAAAGTAAGTGGTGGGCATTTCTAAGTTAAAGTGTATGTAAACCCAAAATCTGTTTTTCAGTAGCTTTGGCATAATGCCTCGCTACATACAGTTTTCATAAGTGAGTTCTTGAGTAAGTTTTTTTTCCTGTGATCTATGTTTCTGACCCAGAGATCCTGCAAGTAACAGCATTTTCTGTTGTAGGCTGACCGTGCTAACCCACTACCTCACAATTAGGTGCATCTCTATGACCCATGCACACATGTGCTTGGGGGTTCCTGCAGATTCTTGAGGTAGGAATCCCATGTGTGTTCATATAGATGTGGTTGCTGTGCCCATTCAAGTTAATGACAGGGTGACAGCGGGACCCATCTGTCTTCATGTAATTGTACACGGTATGATTATCTGTGGATCAGGACAGATGCTTATCTCATGATGCAATCTCTCTGCACCCCGGGACAAGCATCTCTCCCAATCTGCAATGTACAATCGCATACATGTGGACAGCCACGGACAGATGCACCCTCTTTCGTCCTGTCATTAACTTGAATAGGAACAGCTCCCGCATCTGTACAGACACACCTGGGATTCCTGTTGCAAGAATGCGCAGGTTTTAGCTGCAGGAATTCCCAGATGCCCATGTGCATGGAGCCTTTTTATGTTGCTTCTTGAGGGTTTGCAGAAAATGAGCACATAGCGGGCTGGAAATGCTGTCTACTAAAATCCTGCAGCAGGAAGCGGTGTTACTGGCAGGATCTCCAGGTAAGTAACTTTGCAATCAATTCACAAAAAAATAATAAAAACTGCATATAGCGAGGGATGATGCCAAACATACTAAAAAATGGAATAAGGGTTCAATACGCTTTAACAGGGAACCCTATAGACCAGAAAGAAGAGTGAGATAATACAATAATGTTGCTTTAAATATATATGTATACATACACAGGGCGACTACTGGATATCCTTCACACAAAAGGACAGCGAGGCAATATAGTCTTTTTGGAAAGTCTGGAGTTTTACTACCCAGAGCTCTACAAACTGGTAACAGGAAAAGAACCAACAAGAAGATTTTCTACTATAGTTGGTAAGTAAGATCTGTTCATAAATAAGAATATGCCACAAAACAGTTAAATGCTTTTATACAGTTTGCAGACTACCAAGTTTTCTCTGACGTTTTTCCTTTAAGAAGTTGATATAGTAACACCAAACATTGCACACTTTTTTACATGAAAAAAATGTACTATTTGAAGTGAACATTATACATAGTTATGTGTTATCTATCCACCATTCAAACTGAGCCACAGATCTATATCCCATTCAACAACATACTGGTGCTGTGTAAAAACTGCAGATATCTACCTGCAATTTTTGATAGCACTGTGAACAAATCATGTCTTTCCAGCACTCAGAGTTCCAGGCTGGTCAGACCCTCTGGCCCTGTCTTCTCCTTGGATATTCTTATGGTTTTCTTTGGCTATCTTGATCTTCAACTTAAAGCTAGGGATGAGCTGTCCGTAATAGCCAAACTTTTAATAGAACCCCATGGAAATCTATGGAGGGCAAATCTTGATACTACATTCTGACCATTTTTAAGGCTAATTGGCACCGATAAATAACATGTTTTAAAATACTGTACAGCAGGGAGAAAGTCTTCCTTTTAATGTGACTTTGAGGGTGGCAGCGGAAAACGCCAATGCTTTAAATTACATGCTTATTATTTATTGTCGGTATTCATTTAGTAGTGACAATTTACACAGCTTTAACAAATTGTACATTCACATAAGTCCCTGCCCGCAAGGAGCTTACGATACAAAGTGCCTATCTCACATGCATTCCTATACACTAAGGCCAATTTAGATAGGAGCCAATTAACCTACCACCATGCCTTTCAAGTGTGGGAAGAAACTGGAGCTCCTGGGGGAAACAAACACAAGCACAGGGAGAACATACAAACTTCATTCAGATAGTGTCCCGGCTGGGATTTGAACCAGGGACCCCAGTGCTGCATGCCGTATGTGGTGTTATGGAACAGTACAAATTTCACAGAGAGAGACAGTGACACTGTATTCTGGAATCTCATATTTTGGATGTGTAATTGATTTTTTAACTTACCAACAACAGATCTAAGCGCTACAGAAAAGTTTACTCTTAAAAAAATAAAGCAAGAACCTTCAACTTTGTAGAAATTGGCCAGTAGCACTACAGTTTCATAGCATAGTGTGTGAGTTTCCAGTACCGATTAAAGTTTAATAAAATTGCAAAAGAGAGTGCACAAAAACACTTCAAAACCACAATTCAACATTACCTTTCCTATATCCTCAAATATTCCTAAACATTCAAAATATAAACTTCAGGTATGTGTTTGGCTAGCATTAGAACAGTACACAATCACTTGAAAAGGCAACAAATGGAACGAGACAAGGCAGGTTTTATCTTAAAATAAACATGAAGATGTATTATTTTAGAGAAAATAGCCACAATTATCATACAGCAGCTGGACAGTGTGTAAGCTAGTCAGTAAGGCCACAGTGTGAGGGCTAGTTCATACCAGATGATGCAGTTGTGATGCAGTCCGTTCAGTTTGATTGCCACAGCCAAAATACATCACAATGCTTTCCTATGGGATTTCTGGTACTCTATTCACACCAGTGCAGTCAGTTCAGATGCAGTCAGAAAAAATACTGCTTGCCCTATTTAAGCTGCATCGGATCGCAACAGTGCGCATCAAAAACGCATACAAATGCATGCAAACACATTGAAACGCACCTGAAACCCCATTTTAAGCACAAAAACACAATAAAATTGCGGTACAATCACCGTACAATTGCAGTAAAATCATGGCAAAACGCATTGCATTGCAGGTGTGCAGACGCACGCAGTTCTGGTGTGAACTAGCCTCAAGGGCGAGAGATAAGGAATGTTTTAGCTTGAAAAAATATTAAAGTGTATTATTTGAGAGATGAGAGCCACAAATATTGTACAGTGGCTGGAAAGTATGTAAGCAGCTTGGTAAGACTGCAATGTAAGAGTCACGCATGCAATGTAAAAATCGCACATGTATTTCCACGCATTTACGAACACGCAGGTGTGATCGAGCCCCATTAGAATGCATTGCTTTTTGTGTTTAGTGCGTTTCCGTGTGTATAGATAGTACAAAATATATATATCTAAAGACAAGTTGGTAACTTTCCAAAGTTAGTATTGGCTTGATAAATAGAAAACAATAATATAAACCAAGCAACCAACATTTCTGTCTGGTTTCAAATGTCTGAAAAAAGAATATTCATATATACTAGGGTTGCACAGATACCAAGTACAGTACTCGGTACAAGTACGAGTACATGTACCGATACTTTTGAGCTCCAAGACTAGACTAGAGAAAAATGCAAAAATTAGGAGGCAGCTGTCATTTGTAAGGAGCACACTGAGCTCCTGGGATTTGTACATCTCTGTTTTAATGTACGATTTTGTTTTTATAAATATAAATAAAGGGATGCACAGATACCAGTTTTGTGAGTACGAGTACTGGTACTTGCCGAGTACTTACAAGTACGAGTACTAATATCATATGACAATCTCAAATTGTCATAGCCAATAGCAGGCTGGCTATTGCACACGCAAAATAAATTTAGTCAGTAACAACATTTTAATGTGCACATGTCAAGCAACTGGCATATTATGTGCTTGATATATATATATAATCATTCAATTCTACAAAAGTTCTACATATGACTTGTATAAATCAATTGTAATACTGTATATGCTTAATCCTAGGATGTAGTTTAAAAATCACTAGCATTTCTATCACAGATATCCTTCATATTTTATGAATACTTACCTCTTAAAATTGAATGTTGACATTACAAGGAGTATTTTCATGTGGGTGGTTATTGCTTAACAACAAATCTAAAATTTCCTTCAAAGTGTATCTATAGGCCAGATATTTTTAGTGTTAATAAAGTAGGTGATAAGTAAAAACCCTGCCATTTTTGTTTTAGTCTATGACCAGTGGGCAGTTTATCCTTACTCTCTCTCATGGAGACATTGAAAAAAGTGTGAGGGAAATCTCTCCAAAGTGACCAGTGCGACCAGAGCAGGGCCGCCGTCAGGGGGGTACGGCCGATACAAATATCAGGGGCCCGGGGCAGCCTCCGGGGCCCGCCCTGGACCGTTACATGAGTATCAGCCGACGGTGAAGGGCGAGGAGGTGGCCGGGCCCCCGCAGCAGCAGCGGTGGAGGCCTGGCTCTAGCAGCAAATTTGCAGCATTCATAGCAGGCTCTGCAGCCTCCAAAGCACACCACAGATCCTGCAGAGCCCCCCTGAGATCCTGCAGGGTCTCTGCAGGATCTGCGGGAGGCTTTGCAGGATCTGTGGTGAGCTTTGCAAGGTCTATGGTGGGCAGAGACTGCAGGGTCTCAGGGGGCTGTGCATGATTTGTGAAAGTCTCAGGTGGGCTTTGCAGGATCTGTGGCGGGGTCTATGGTGGGCTCTGCAGGGTCTCAGGTGGGCTCTGCAGGGTCTCAGGTTGGCTTGGCAAGGTCTATGGTGGGCAGAGACTGCAGGGTCTCAGGGGGCTGTGCATGATTTGTGAAAGTCTCAGGTGGGCTTTGCAGGATCTGTGGCGGGGATAGGCTGTGTAAGGGGCCCTGACATTTCTGAAGGCTGCCCTGGACCAGAGCATGTGTCCATGTTGGAAGATTTCCCCTCACCTCCTGTTCTGGTGACAACTGTAGAACGTTGGATCTCCCATCACTTTCTGCCCCAGTGACAATGGCCACTAGGGTAAATATTGAGCGTGAATCTACGTAAACACCGATAGCAATATACAGTAAATCGGACAGAAGTTTTGTCCCTTCCCTACTCTATCCAAAACCAAAGAAAAAGATTTGAATACAGATACACATTTTGAAGGTGACGAAATTTGGTGGAATTTAAAATGTAGTGTTTAGAAATAGGTAAAAAATGATTACTTTTCAGTTTGATGGTCATAAACACATATTTGTTTGCTGTGTGTACCCATACTACAAGAAAATTTCATATTGTGCAGATTTGAAACCCTTTTGATAACAAATTGTGCTTTGTTTTTTTTTATAAGCTGCTATTAACTTTGAACAGTTTAGTGATAGTTGTTCCAGGCTGTTAACATTAATAGTATACCTGAAAATCTGATAAAAGTCTTTTGATGATTACATTATTCTTTTTCCTTCTAGTTGAAGAAGGCCATGAAGCTCTTACACAGTTCCTGATGAATGAGGTCATCAAACTGCAGCAGCAGTTAAAAACCAAAGAAGTTCAGAAATGTGAACTTGTAGCTAACTCCAGACAGCTTGAGGATGAACGGAAACAGCTAAAGCTTGTCAACTTGGAGCTGTTAACATTTCAGGAGCGTTATAACAAAATGAAAGAAGAGCGAAATAACTGTAATGATGAGTTAATTAAAGTGAAGGATGAAAATTATACATTAGCAATGAGGTATGCTCAACTCAGCGAAGAGAAGAACATGGCTGTTATGAGAAGTCGAGATCTGCAACTTGAGGTGACAGTCACATGTTTTTATTTGAAATGCATAAATTAAACCTAACATTTCTGATGTGTTGTCATGTTGAAGGTCACCCTGCTACTGGATAACAATATTGCTTTCTGTATTCTGACCCTGCTCTAGACTTATTCAGGTTAATTTACCTAAAGCAAATAGGCTGTTCACTTTGCAAGGCAGTTTTCCCTTAGTTTAGAAAATGTGGTGTGTGATGGATGCGCCCCGTTCTGATCTTACTGGACGCCAATAACTCGTGACTATACGCAGTTCCATGCCGACTGAGACGTCACAAGGATGGGCAAGACCACTCCAGGCCTCACCCTGCAAAGAGATTTCCCAGCTCATGGGACAACAATCTCAGGCCAGCAGACTGAGAGCGATCGCCACTAGGGTTGGTCAACTCCGCAGTTAACCCTTTACACAGTAGCTGCCACCACATGTTTTATTGGAAACGCGCACCGTTCTCAGCAAATGCTGTGGCAATTCAAAAACTTAAAGTCTATAATACCACTGTCCTCCTAGACAGCAATATGACAGTTTTCACTATAAAGTAACCCCTAAATTATTGTGTGTCATGACATTAGATTTGGGTAGACACTAAATTTGATATGCTTATGAATGATGGGTGGCTCAGAAGGAGAATAATATGTTTCTAGCCTTCTGGATGTCATAGACCAGGGGTGCCCATAAGGTCGATCGCAAACTACCAGTGATCGCGATGTCCTGTCTTCTCTGGATCCCCGCTGCTCTCCCCCATCTGTATGCAGCGTGGATCCGAGGAAAAGTGAAGCTGCAGTCGGTGGTGGTGGGGCGGAGGAGGGAGCTGCTATCACAGCAGCACGCCAAGCGGTGATCCAGGCCGAGCTGCTCGGCCTGGATCTGGCAGCCGATAGCATCTTGTGAAAACTACCTCAGACTTCCTAGACTTAAAATAATTTTTTAAAATATTTTGAGGATGTTCTCCTGCCTATGTTGTGACATTTTTAATATTATTTTCTCTATAATGCCCATAAATACAGAGGTGAATGAGTTTTAAAAGATAATAGTAGTAATTTACACCATCCGCCTCATTCCCTCAATCTTTTTTCTCATCTTCCATCTTGCTCTTATTTCTGTCATTGCTGCCAATGTGTAAAACAATTGCTGTGTTATCCCTAGCCCCACCTAATGATGTTAAGAGCTGCTAATTACAACGTAACTACTTTATCTTTGTGATTGTCAATCCTAGTACATGCCTGCTCAGTGGACAATATTGTGACACCAATGCAACAGCATGGAAATGCTGTAGTTGTTTTAGTTAATCAGTTTATGCTGTAAAGTGATGAAAGAGACACTGGTACTTTGCCAATTCAGGATATGGAGAGCATGTGAACTCCACTATGTGGCAGTGCTTGGCCTGACCAGCCAAACACCATACCTAAAAAATGTGTAATGTGTGTGGGTGGGGGGGTCAGGACATCCTCCTTCTGTTTAAGATCAGACATTAGTTGACACTGGAGTTTACACAGATGAAAATGCTGTAGCGGGGAGATGGTGAGGGAGCTTGGCTGTGCAAACAATGATCTCCCTCTGGTGCAGCATTGCAGCCTGTAAAAAAAAATTGTGATAAAACAACATTGCTAAAACAATTGCTGATAAAACGTTGATAAAACAATTGCTAAATATTGCAAAGTAGAAAAAGCAATGGATTTGGTAAGTAAGACCTGTTTTTTTTTGTATTGACAGAAAGCAAAAAACAAAAAAAACCAAAATGAGTGCCTCTTCATAGCCAAAACATTGAACAAACGCTAAATATACATTAAAATGTTTTACCTGCCAGTCTTGTCATTCACACACCATGGGTAAACTGCATTGTCAGGCATCTGACACCACTGTTTCTAATATCAACATAGCTTCCCTGTACCTTCCTGCTTATTGGAGAATATTTTGCAGTTATGTATACACTACCTGTCCAAAAAAAGTCACACACTCTAATATTTTGTTGGACCGCCTCTAGCTTTGATTACGACACACATTTGTCCAAGCATCGTCTCAATAAGCTTATGCAATGTGACAATATTTATTTCAATCCAGAGTTGCATTCATTTTTCACCAAGATCTTGTAGTGATAATGGGAGAGTCGGACCGCTGAGTAAAGTCTTCTCTGGCACATCACAAAGATTCGCAATGGGATTAAGGTCCGTACTCTGTGGTGGCCAATCCATGTGTGAAAATGATGTTTCATGCTCCCTGAACCACTCTTTCACAATTTTTATCTGATGAATACTGGCATTGTCATCTTGTCATATGCCTGTTCCACCAGGGAAGAAAAATCCATGATGGAAAAACCTGGCCATTCGGTATATTGAAGTACATAGTACATAGTACATAGTATTTGGGGTTGAATAAAGACATACGTCCATCAAGTCCAACCCATATAGGTAAAGTAGGTACGTAATGTTGCTGAACCTAGACCTACTGTATTATCCAATGGAAGGCTCTTATCTATTGGCTTAGGCAAACCCAGCTGGTGACTTTTTTGTTGGACAGGTAGTGCAAATTGCATTGTGTCCTCCCTAGGGTCTACTTGTGTTGGTCCACATCCTTTTCATAGTGACATTATTCATTCCTCCTACAGATTCTTTGTACAAAATAATCTGAGACAGAGTGTGTCTTATGCTATTAACATTTTGTACTTTAATCTTGAAGAAGGTTAGCCACAAAACATATTGTCAAATACATTTCAAAAACACCATTATATTTGTTACAATTTATACTCTGTGTGGGTGTTTTGATCATATTCTAGTCATTTAATTTACCTGAAGACAGAATTGTGGAATTTTCTGGAGTTTGATTACAAGTGCATTGCTACACACCAAATGAGTGTAATGAATGCAAGATGAGTGTTGGAATACATTCTTATGCGGAATCTTGATTTACTAATATGCTACTCTTTACACTTACCCCACTTTTATATGAACATTTATTTTTATGCTCTACAAACAGTGCTGTTACCAGGGGTTTATATTTTATAGGGAGTCCTATCAGCAATTGGAAAAACTGACATTTAAAGCATTTGCTGAGCAGCTATATGGTTTAAACCTGTACTGCAATGATGGTAGTCTTTGAGGGCCATCTTTTGATTTGAGGCTTCTGTTCAGCACCACAGACTACACACATAGTGTGTTGATTGTTGGTTCCAGAAACTGTAAACCTAACTTTAATGGCATGATTTTCTTTAACTACTATCCTCAAATAAATGCAGATTGATCGACTGAAACACCACTTGAATAAAATGGAAGAAGAGTGTAAATTGGAAAGAAACCAGTCCCTCAAACTGAAAAATGATATAGAGAATCGTCCAAAGAGGGAACAGATGATGGAACTTGAGCGTGAAAATGAAATGCTAAAAATTAAGATACAAGATTTTCAAACAATGATTCAGGTAAAATCTTTCTCCTCTCTACAATTGCAGGTCCATTGTGAAGTGTCTGCATAAGAAAAATTATTTGAAGTTTGCATAACCACTTAAGAGGAATATGGAGATTGCACTATTTTTCTACAAAGACTGCACTTCTGACACATCCAGTTGTGTGGTTCATTCCTTGGGTTTGAAACAGTGTAGCCAAGCAACCATAGCTACTAATGTGGAGCAGCAGTTATGTCCTTGGAAACAACACGTCTATCGCTGTGCAATTAGTGAGGGGCACATTGGAATCAAGCAGCAATTATGTACCCCAACAGCAGGAACTAGTGGTGATTGCTAAAGTTGAAGATGATGCTCCTACAGAGTTTTTGCGAATGTCCTTTTCTTCGGACCTCTTCCTGAACTCAGCAGCAACAGGTCAATCTCTACTGACTTTTATCAGAGTAAATGAACAATCGGAAAGCTGCAGTTTTTAAATAGTTAACAATTATAACTCTACAGATAATACCAACTGCATATATTTTAATTCCAGACCAGTTCTTAAAAATTAGTAACCCATGGAATCTACAGTGTAAACGTTCATGTGCTTTTTTCAGGCAGTAGCTCTTCACCATATCCATGAAACACGTCTTTGGTATAAACAGTGGCTCTGATATGTTATCCCTCTGACATATACTGCATTCAGAAATATAACATTCATCTGCCCAATCCTCAATGATCTCTAGATGCTTCCTGCAGCATTTCCCCAGTCTTCAACCACTTCTCTAGCATGCCTGCAGTATATGACCAGCTCCTGCCTCTGGCCACCTAATGTAACATGTCCACAATCTCTGACAGTTTTCTGTAGTAATATATATGCTGAATATAATACACTGCCTTTGTGTTCATATTAGGAACCACAGTTAGTCCCACTGCTTGAAGAGCTTAAATTGAATATGGTGACTGGATGCAATAACATTTATGAAAAAGTAATGTTTAGAACAGGGGTGCCCACAATTTTTTGTGTTAAGATCTACTTTTCAAATGACGAGCTACATGAGTTCTACCAACGAAAAAAAAACCTCCCTCACTCTCTCTCCTGGCTGTCTCTCCTCGCTCTCCTGGCTGTCTCTCCTCGCTCTCTCTCCTCTTGCTCTCATTCCTCGTTTTCTCTCCTGGCTGTCTCTCTCTTTGCTTTCTTGGCTGTATCTTCTTGCTCTCTCCCCTGGTTGTCTCTCCTCTCTCTCTTTCCTGGCTGTCTCTCCTTGCTCTCTCTCCTGGCTGTCTCTCCCCGCTCTCTCCCCAGGCTCACCTTGCAGTGCAACAGGATGAGTACACTAATATTTTTTGATGTAATACATAGCACTTCAACCACCAGTATCCACAAGGAAGGTGTCAGGGAGCTTGGCTCAGCAGACTCAGGCTAATAGGTAATTATGTGTGCACAGCTAAATAAATATACCAAAATGGAATAAAGGGTCCACCATTCACACCCTCCGTGATCTACCAGCATCAGCTTTGAGAGTTACTGGTAGATCACGATCTACCTAATGGGCACCCCTGGTTTAGAACAATTTAGTATAGCATGCCACAGGCTATTCAGCATTCCAGAGGTAACGTAACTTTAAAAAATCTTCAGTACTGTGTATTAGTAGAAGAATGATTAGATTAAATCTACTTTTAATGTACTTCTGCTTAAGGCTCAGTATTTGACACTGACTAAATAACTGAAATACTTATTGTGTTTTGTATACTCTTAAGGGTGGAAGTCCCAGTTTGCCAGATTCTGATAAAGCCATAGTTGATATTCTTGAACATGATCGTAAAGAAGCTCTGGAAGATCGACATGAATTAGTGAACAGAATATTTAATCTTCAAGAAGAAATACGTCAAGCTGAAGATTTGAGGGACAAGGTAAGAGAAAATTTCTTCGGGATCAGAGGAAGAGTACCAAAATATATACCTTAAAGGTATATAATCAGCCATAAAACCCCCACAAAATTTAAAGAAAATGCATACTTGGATAAAATACTCAGCTTAATCATGTCTAAAGGTATGTGTTTTTACATAAACTATGTACATGTGCTTATTGATTTATTTATGAGCATAGGGCTACTTACAGTTTAGCCCCTTTGTTTTCTTCAGAACAATCCCAGCCCACTAATGGGCTTGCATTGTAAATGTCAATAAAGCATATCCACTGCATACAACTGCAAACCAGGAAGCAGAGTCTGAAAATTTAATGAACAAATATGGCTGCTCCATGTTCTTATATAATTACAATTTATACACATGGAGAGGATTTTTAAACTGTAACCATATACGGATAGTATTATTTACACCATGATGATATTTTGTATGTATTTATCTGGAAACAATTATTAAAAAGACTGTGCCATAATATTAAATACCCATAGACCTATGCAGTATGGCAATTGCCTGTTCCAACTGTGTTTGGCCATGTCGGTCTATGATTTCATGCCTACTGGCCAGCTGGCATCAGAAGTATTTAGGTCTTTGCTGATTGCTGTCACTGTCCAAATGACAGAAGGAGATTTCCCAGCACATTATAACTTCAACTGCCAGAGGCATTTGCGATTACCCTCTAGAACAGGGGTCAACCCTCTAGCTCCGGAGCCGCATGTGGCTCTTTCATCCCCCTGCTGCGGCTCCCTGTTCAGGGGAGATCGGCATCGCAGATGGTATTTGCAGAACTGATCTGCCCTGGAATAGCTGTTCGGTCCTGAAATGTCACTTCTATCCGACTCTGTGAGTGGGGTGGAATGTGATATTGCACTCACAGAGTCTGATAGAAGTGACATTTCAGGACCAAACAGCTGTTCCAGGGCAGATCAGTTCTCCTGCACATACCATTTGCGATGCCGATCTGCCCTGGAACAGCTGACAAAGCATTGGAATGCTTGACCTATTGGTGGTCACATATTCCACCGCCAAAAAACTGGGCGTGATTACATTGAAATGTGTGACCATGTCACCGGTCACACATTGTAACGTAGTCACAAACTTTGATGGAACAACGCCATCAGGGGGGTACGGCCAGTACCCATTTGAGGAGTCTTGGCAGCCTGGGGGGCCTCTTACATGAGTATCAGCTGTACCAGGGGCGGCATGGCAGAGGTGGCAGGGGAGGGGGTGGAGGAGGCCAGGCCCCAGCAGCAGCAGGTAAGAAGAGTTAGGAGGAGGTACAGGGAAAGGGACCCCCCGGGTGACCATCCCACCTGAGGCCCTGCAGAGCCCACCATAGAGAGTCTCAGATGGGCTGTGCAAGGTCAATCTCAGGTGGGGTCTCAGATAAGCCCAGTGCGTTACTAAGCCCAGAGCCCAGTGCATTACTAAGCCCAGAGTCCAGTGAGTTACTAATCCCACATATACCTATATACATGCTATACAGAGCATAAAGGTAAAAAAACGCTATATGACGTGTTATCTTCATTTTAGATGTCAAAAGGGTTTTGTGGCTCCCGGTCCTTTCTTTTGTGTGGGAAACGGGTCCAAATGGCTCTGAGTGTTCAAGGTTGCTGACCCCTGCTCTAGAATAACAAAGGCACAAGTGAAGCATAAGTAAAAGGGACTCTTTCAATCAGAATTTCTTTTATCAAGCCATCTATGGCCAGCATAACTGTAAGAAAGGTACAGACAGTTGGTAATGTAAAGAGCTAGATTTTAATTTGGCCAGAAATATCCAGTACATGCAAGAGTAGTTTGTTCTAGCATTTTCTTTATATAATATGTAATAAAACAGTTCAATAAAAAAAAGAAGTGTAATGATGTAACAAAACATAGAAACAGAAAGGGTGTTTAGTCCAGAAACATAAAACATACATACCATAGTATCAAATACACAAAATACCACATATATAGTGCGTGAACCATTTATCTATATCAATAAAGTAACCATTTTTTATCCAATTCCACAAAAGCTGCATAAGCAATGAACAGAAACTATTTTCCAGTTTGTCCACTAAGATCTAATTATTCTCTTGTTGGGCACCATTATTTGCTTTCCCACAACACAGAGAAGATGAAACCAGCCTGTCAATAACAGCCGATTCATCAAAAATGCCTTTCTGCAGGCAGTAAACACATGCCAGACACCGAATAGCACTGATGTTAGTTGTATTCTTTTAGATTCTGAAGAGCACTGATGCAACTTGCAGTCATGTGATGGAGTGGACCGGTGGAAAAGAAGAGGACTTATCTATGTAGGCGTGCCACCCACCTAGATGTGTAGGGCACATTCATAGCTTCTACCTTCCCGGGTCTGAATCCACTTACCTAGTAAATTTTAGTAGATGTATCTGAGAATCAAACTTCCTACCAGACTGGGCCTCTGCTAGGGAGTAAGGGCAATAATTTACCTTCAGTCCCCCTGTGTCTGCTATGTTACATATCATGTGATCACATGACATGGAAAGACAGCAGAAAAGGGATGACTTACTAAAATGTTAACAGGTTCTTTATCTAGTAGGAGGTTTGCTCATAACTCTTAACAAAATAAGTGACATGATAGCTTGGGGAAAAATAAGAGTAATAATGCTCCTTTAACAAAAAAAATCCTGCATTGTCTCTCTCTGAAAAACTTTAATTAACAGATATTTTTATTCTCTAAACACATTAACACCTAAAAATTGACTTTTCTAATTGATTACATTTAAAATTCCTTTTACAGCAATTATACTAGATCTAACATTACAAATGAACATGATGCCCGGATGTTGTTTTAAATGCTCTGCTTGCCACTATCTGTGTTAACAGTGCCAAATTAAATTGCTTGTTAACATTTATTTTACAGTACCTGGAAGAGAAAGAAGACTTGGAGCTCAAATGTTCTACACTTTCTAAAGATTGTGAAATGTACAAGCACCGCATGAATACCGTTATGGTGCAGTTAGAGGAAGTAGAGAAAGAGCGAGATCTGGTATTTTGTCACTGCTCTTAAAATGCCTAATGCATATGTGGAATCCTGTGGTGTGTGTTTTTTTTGAAGCATGGACATCCACACCAATGATAGATATTGGATTGGGTTTAATGACACTGCTGCATGTCCCATTGTGCTTTTCTTACCATTAATGTCAATATATTCCTAGTGCATCAGGTACAGGAAAGTGATAAGAGTGCTCTATTTATGCAATCATGTATGTAAAGCCTTAAGCTGGCCATACACTAGTAGATTTCTGAAACAAACATTTGTAAGAAAGATCTTTCTTTACCACCCAATAATGCCATCAGACACTTGACAAATGTGGATCAAAATTTTGTTTAATTTTTAACATTCGATTTTGGAATGAATAGAGTTTTCTAAATGAAAACCACTTTCACTGTTAGAATATTGCTCATTCAAGAAAAAAATTCCATCCTGCTCCTTCGACTTTTTTCATCAATATGGTCTAAATCGATGATCAATTGGACCCCATCAACTAATAGAAAGTTGAACGAAAGATCTTTGGAAAATCTAAGCAGTGTATGGCCAGCTTTAGGGGCCAATTTATTAATTTTATACCCTGCTTATAGCTGGGTACATGATGTTCACATGGCACTAGCACCCCTAGATGGCGATAAGGAGCATAGAAAATTCCTTTACTAGACAAGGACAACCACATACACCTATACATTGAAAAGGGTGCTTTGAGAAGTACCCACCCACCCAAACAGAGACAATCCCCACCAAAGAAGCAGTTTTGAAGAATTTAAAGCAATTAAGCATAGCTATGGAAAAGGGTGTTTGCATTGGGGATTTATGTGCAACCTACCGGTCCCTCCATTTTGGATCCCTTACTCGTACACCTGTAGCTCAAAAAAAAATCACCATTATCCTGTTTAGGATAAATCCAGTAACAAAATGTTACGCAATATGTAACTTTCCCCATTTTTCCAAAATTAAGACATTAACAAAGATTGGCATAGATACCATATCTATACACATATACATTTAAACAGCTTTGAACAGTTTCTATAGCCTTCAAAAAAATATGTTTTTAGTCACCGGGGTTCAGTAGAACACACATCTGGCAGTCTGATGTCCGGAGCAAGAATGCTGCTGTCCAGTGGAAAGTTTTTATAGTAACCTTTAAATAATGTAAATCTGACGCTGCATTGGAAAGTGAAATTTTTATTTTCTCTGTCGCTTTTGTTTTTAATCGAAAGGCATATCGTTCACGTGATGAAGCACAGACACAGTATTCACAATGTCTGGTAGACAAAGACAAGTACAGAAAACAAATTCGAGAGCTAGAGGAGAAGAATGATGAACTTAGAATTGAGATGGTTAAAAAAGAGGCAAGGATTGTTAATCTGGAATGCAAATTGCGAAGAATGTCAAAGGATGGGCTCTTTCTGGACCAGGTGCATTTTAAAAATCATATATATAAAATTTGCCTTCTGATACTGGGTAAAGTACTGTAGCACAGAAGGTCAAAGAAAAGCAATGGGTCATAAAAATGCAAGAGTAAGTAAATAAAAAGATGAGTTAGTAAAATACCCTCACTAAACAATGTTGCTGGTCTCAGTGATACAGAAAAGGGATAAAAGATCAAGAAAGGGGTAGTATAAAAGTACATTAAGAGAAACAAATGGCATAGTCTTCAAAACAACAGCACCACTGATCGATTTCAGAACACACAAACAGTTGTATAATATCATATGTTAACAAAATCGTCATATAAACATAATAAGTATGAATTTGAAAATATATTATTAATAAGTAATATAGAGGCAACGAACTATCTTCTTTATTAATCATCCATGCACAGGCTCTGCTTACTTATGAAAGGTGCAGGCTTAGAGGGCTTTCATCCAGATCCTAGAAGAGGCATGAAGGGCATGTGTTCAGATTTGTCAGACTTCAATGGCTGTGTGCTTGTTTCAGGTCAGCAACGTACTAGGTAGGGAATGAAGTCAGAATCAGAGTGACAACTCTGAAAGCTTTGTCTTTAAAAACCAAATGAGAATTTGCAGCTCCCATATTTCAACATTGATTTAAGTGTCATATTCCTTTGCTCCTCACAAAACGCTATTTATTGTCCATCAGGTGGAAGTCACTGTCCATGCTTACTCAGAATCTGATAGCAGGTTTGTGGCATCCAGTACCTAAAGTCCACATAGCTGTTTATTGAACTACTTGCCCATTAAGGCACTTTAGAAAAGAATATCACAACTCATTTTGTCGGTTCCAGCAGGTCAACGTTAAAGGAGAATTATGAGGCAAGTGATTTTCACTGACAATGAGACTGTCACAGGTCGGCTCAGTAGATCGGGAAGTGAGTGAACACATACCGTCGCTCGCTCACTTCTCGATCTATCCCTGCAGAGAGCCGTGACTGTCATTCATGGCTCCCTGCAGGGATTCCACCCCCTCCCCTGTCTGATCCTCCAGCGATGTCTGGCGTAACGGACGGGGGAGGGGGCAGGCACAGCTGGCAGAGCCACCTGTCAATCCCACAGCTGGGTGGATCTCGACAGCAATGTCAGGATCCGTCCCGGCTGCGGCGTCTCAGTATACCGCGAGCTGTAGCTCGTGGTATGCTGAGCTTTGGGTAACGGGAGGACGCTAGTTTGTGTTCTCCCGTGACCCTTAGGAGAACTATAGGGAAAAGCACTGACCCCATAGTTCTCCTTTAAAATTACCTTCCAAAAAGTCTGCAGGGTCCCAACAACAAAATCAATCAGGGACAAAAAAACAAACAAACATAAGAATAAATCAGTAAACTTTATATACAGTACCCGTAGCCAAGTATTATATGGAAATACTTCACCAGTACTTTACATTCTGGGTTATTCATTATTTTTGTTAAACTTTCCTTAACAGAGTTTACCAAGAAATCTAAACATCATGATGTCACCAGGTTCAAAGACAAATGGTCAGGAGGCTGAGGACTCATCTGATTCTATGGGATCTCCTGATGAGAAATATTTCTTTGGTGTCGCTGAATCAAAGAAAAGAAGGAGGGTGAACCTAAAAGGCATTCCCCAAGTGTGTTTGTCAGCCCTTGTATACTGTTTAACAATGGATGAAAATACTTGTTAGCCATTAAATGTTTGATTGTACTGTATAGTTTGTTTGTTTTGTTTTTTGTTAATGCCCAATCAAAATGAACATTAGAAACAACAATTTACATATACAATGATTTACAGAGATTAATAAATTGGAGCATCAGGTAAATATTAAAACCACCCTTTAAACTAGTCATTTATACAATAAAAGGGATTCCCCGTAGTATTAATGGTTACATTTATCTGCTAATTCCCTCCAGAGTTCTTTAGAATTGTTACATTGTATCTCTTGTTTGTAGTCCTCAGCTGCATCTAGTGGCCATAATGTCTTATCATCCCAATTCACTACCGTTCACAATACTTGAAGAACATTCAAGAGAAAATGCCCTTAAAAACATTTTATTTTACTCCATTCTGACAACAGCTGGTTAACTTTCACCCAAACACATGTACATGCAGTTGCACTGGCTATATGCATTGCTTTTCAAATATAAATAGATCCTACAGTGTTCTTTTCCACATAAGGTTTTACATATACTGTACATGAACATAAGAGACATAATAGACAGTTAAAAATAGCTGCCACTCTTGAGAACTGGTTAATTAGAAAGATCTAGTGCATGGTTACAGTATATAAAGAAATTCCATGGGAAACCACATTAGGGTCAGAACACATAGTTGGCAGGTGATTAGCATGTTTGTATTGCAACAGGGTCTTTAGTTATACTCCCAGCTTGCTTTGTCCATATATTCATGTGTTTCCTTCCTATGTGTGCATGTTTTTTTTTTTTTACTTCCACAGTCCCAGTGCATACCAGAAAGTTAATTGCCTCCCACCCTAAACCAACATCACTGTGCATAATTGTATGAGGCAGGGACATAAGCTTTTAAGGTCATTTGAAAGCATAACTGATGTTATTTGTGCATTGAAAATTAGCTAGTCCACTTCTAGACCTGTAGAGTAATCAGTCTACAGTGTATCAGCACTACAAAGAACTAGATTACATACATCTGTCAAATTTAAAGGTGGCTTATAAAAATGCCAGCTGAATTTTAGAGTTAAGCAGATATCAGCTCATTTGTTTCACCAGCAGTTTGCTGAGATGTACAATAATCCCAGAATATAATAAATCAAAAAGGGTCCAGTGGACCTCCAGCTAGTTTACCTAGGGCATTGCAGAGCATGTAGGGGCACCTCTCCAAGCAAGAAACCCACACTGCAATGGAGGGTTCCCTTCCTCTCACCACTGACCTATAGTTGGCTGTGTAGGTCAGATCCAATGAGTATTCTGCATTCATTAATGTGCAGAGAGCACAAAAGAGATGAAACACACCTCTAGCATTATGCTTCCATGTTAGGACGTATTGTATTTTACTAGGCTTCCTCAACAGGTAGCTCACTGTGCACTCTGCCATTGTAGAACTTCATTGCTAAAGGATCCTTTGGCAAACATGTAAGGGCCAGCTATGAACCCTAGTTTGCATGAACTAATTTATTAATTTCTAAATGAATATATTCAAGCTTTATTGCAGAATTGTGTATGTTTCCATTCTGAATATAATAAAGCCACCATTTTCCCATAAACAGCTAAATTTTTCAAAATAAGAGCCAAGATGTATGTTCTGCAAGGAGGATGTAGTCAACAATATAGTGGATCTGTATGCCAGTGCTCTCATGCTGTCAGGTGTGTCTGGGTAATGCAGAATAATAGGGCACAATGATACCCCCTTATTGTGTCTCACTACACCCCATAATAGTATTTTGTGCTTTAGCTTTGAATAGCTGCTATTCAAAAAAAGAAATGAAATCTGGAATCTACCTAAAACTAAAAAGTCAGTGTAGAGCTGTTTCATGGCCTTTGTAATGTATAAGCCTTTGGTTTTTGTGATACTTGCAACATAATAATTTTGAATGAAGAAATGTATAAACAAATCATTTATCTCTTTCTCTGTTTTGCAGATTGTACGAACAAAGTCTCCAGTATTCAACAGGCAAAATGTATTTCAAGGTTAGACATACATGTAGCTATAAACTTTATTACATCAAAGAAATGAGATTTGTGTACTGTCCCTGCTGAACTTGCTATTGCTTGAACTGGTTCAGAGCAGTAGTAGAAGCTGTGTGCTGCTTGGAATTTGTATTTTGTAAAATTTGATTGCAGTATTTGTACCATAGGTTGTATATAAATATATAACACGTAGGACCAGGCCAATAGGTGAATATACAATGCAGCTACCTCTTGTGCGTAAAGAGAAGGTCTAATCTCTCTAAGCTACAGCCTAAGCTTTACACGTTCTCCCTGGCTCCAAATTTAGACTGTGTTGACATTCATGCAGCCATATTACAATCACAGATGTTAAATATGAAAATTATACTAGCCGTTTACCGTTTATAGCGCAATTCTTTTCCTCTGGTATCACTGTGCTCTCTCAATCCAAAGAGGTCTCCTTTTAAAACCAACAGAACTTTGAGTTTAACAAGAGGCCGGGAATGGCAACTCCCAAATTTCTATATGCATAGGTTCACCTTCATTGTATATGTCCGCACTGTTTTAATACTATGTTGGATATATGGGCAGTATAAGAATACGGGCTACACAGATTTTTATCTGCAGTAATTCATTTTACAGTTTTTTTCTAATTTTCATAAAGCTGCTGAAGATCTGGAGAGCAAAATAGAATGCAATAATTGTCAAACGGAGGGAGCGTCTCATAGGTCTGGATCATTCAGCAATACTACTATCAACAGTTCTGATATTCCCAAGGTAGTACGTTATTGATGATTTCATACATGGTGTATGGGTATTTGCTGGTCAAAAACTAATTTACCTGGTTTGTGTAAATGACCAAACTAGAATTGTTCATTTGTTTGTGGCACTATCCACTTCAATAAAGCAAAGGAAAATAAAGCAACATGTTTAAAGCCTGCAGTGGATATTGCATATCACGGGTTTTTGTGTGGCTACTGCCATCTTCATTGTCCGAAAACTGTAGACATATCAGGCTGATAAGTGCCAAGTCTTACATAGTTACATATTTGTTAAGGTTGAATAAAGACACAGTCCATCAAGTTCAACCTTTGTGGGTGTGGGTGTGTGTTTGAGTGACTAATATTACTTGTGCCTCTTTATGTCTTGCTCGTTGAGAAAAGTATCTAGACGGGTCTTAAACAATTCCATACTCTCAGGTGAAACCACTGTTTGTGAAAGGGAGTTCCACAATTTTATAGCTCTGACAGTAAAGAATCCTCGTCACTGTTTAAGATTAAATATTTTCTCTTCCAGTTTCAGATGTTGTAGGGGAACATGGAGCCAGCTTCCCGTGCAATCAAGAAGACGTGCGGCAAGTAATGACCCACCTCCTGGTTTCCTGATTGGCCGGAAAGCCGGCTCCTTGGTGATTGGCTGGAAAGCCGGCTTCCCGGCCAATCAGTATCGAGCCAGCTTCCCGGTCAATGAGGTCATTACTCGCCTCCTGGCTTTCTGATTGGTTGGGAAGCCGGTTTCCCGGACACTCACAATCAAGCAGGCCAAACAACATGGAGTGAGCTTCCCTGTCAATCAGGAAACCGGGCGGAATGTCATTACCCGCTGCCCGGCTTTCTGATTACCTAGGAAGCCTGCTCCATGCCAGCAGAAGCACCGGTATTGTTATTCGGTATTTCCACACCCCTGATGTAGTCTGTTTTCTCTCTTGGTCACTGCACTCCTACACAAATGCTATTCTGTGACCATCCCAGTCCTCATTCTTTTCTTCTGTTGACATGCACATGCTTGTTGCACAATCACTCCAAGATAATATTTTTATTGCAGCCTAAAAAAGGCAAAAAGAATACAATGTGTGTGTTTTAAATTACTTATGTTTATTTAAACCTTATAGAATATATACAGACTGTACAGTCTATTTTCGTAGATAACAGCATGCCATAGTATGTGTATACATTTTTTATTGAATTGCTTCTAACAGCATGACTAACTAACTGAATGAGGCACTGAAACCTGAAACCTACTGCACTACCCCTGTTCAATCCAATCGATACCAGAATTAGACCCCATTGCACTTAGTAACAGGGGTGGTTGACACACACAGGGGTCCTCATGCACCCTTCTCTACTTCAAGACTGAGTGGAGGCACTAGTGCTGATGGGTGGGAGAAACGAGGGGGGCTGTATGTGTGTGTGTTTATGTATTTCTCTATGTGTGTGTTTAGGGGGAGATGTATTTCTCTTTGCGTGTTTGTGTAGTCACCTTATTCACACCTGTATGTTTAGGTACAATTAGGGATTTCCGTGTCACGAATTTGCATTTTACTGCAGCAGGAATCCCTAATCTGGCATCTACAAGCGGTAGTTGTCACCCGTTCAAGTTAATGATCAGGTGACAGCCACTGCACGTAAACACCGGCACACCGCATGCAATGGTATGTGTTATGATTACATGTGGTTAGGAATCAGTCATTATCCCTGGATACACGATCGATGCGTCCAGTGATAATGATTGTTTTCTAACTGCATGTAATCATATCATATATAATAATGTAAGCTGTAGCTGTTATTTTTTATTTTGAGGGGTGAGGGGGGGGGCTCATACAAAATTTCGCAATAGTGCCCTGTGATTTCTAGTTACGCCCCTGAACTACAACAATATATCTAACAAGATATAAGACTAAACCACAATGTCATACTGTTGTGTATGGCAGCAACAAAGAACTTCTACATATGAGTGTCTTTGGCTAACCCTGCAACAGTTCCATGGTGTTTGTTGTAAGCTTTTTAGTTGCACCACTGCAATACACCAACATGTTATTTTAGGGTGACCTCACCTTTATGTTCTTCTTGTGTTAAGTGAATGGAAATATAGTTGGCTGAATCTGTATTAGCACATGTCCAATCCATCTCCCTTGCCTCTATAATTTGATAGTAGCCTTGTTCTCTAGTGAACAATTAATAAGAAGGTCATAATTTGAAATCTTAACTGGCCATAAAATTACAGAGGATCCTTTTCAGTATGGAAAGATGCCACCTTGGTCAGGTACTTTTTGTTATTCACCATCTAGCAGCGTTGACAAGCTCTGGCGCTGCCACAGAAGTATTTTGGTGTGTGCAATATATTATGTTGACCATCAGGTACAGTTTATAGCTCTTGCTTTGCTCAATTCACCTAATGTATTTAATGTAATTTTCAGAACTACTATATTTAATCTACTGATGCTAGCATTGCTCTGAGAATACTAGTTGCCTGACGTTTGTGCGGACTCCTTGACTTCAGTACTTCAAGTCACTGAACTGAAATAAGTATGTAGTCAGAAATGTCAGAACTCCTAATGTACACACCTGTTCTGGATAACATAAAATATAACTGAAACTAAAATAAGTATTTTCAAGATAAGGTCAGTGGTGGCAGTTTATGTATTTCTCTCAAGACAGGTTTTCTTTAAAAGTAAGTTCTAGACAAATATTTCTGTGTGTGTGTTGATTATTATGGAAGTGTGGATACAAAAAAACTGCAGCAGGCCCTATTTTACCTGCTCTGGAACGCATGCAAACGCCCTGGAACGCACTGAAAGCCCATTTTAAACTGAAAATAAATACATTTTTAAACCAAAAACAGCCCGGAACGCATCAAAAATGCGGCAAAAACGCAGCACAACCCACTGCACTGCGTGTATGTAGTCAGAAATGTCAGAACTCCTAATGTACACACCTGTTCTGGATAACATAAAATATAACTGAAACTAAAATAAGTATTTTCAAGATAAGGTCAGTGGTGGCAGTTTATGTATTTCTCTCAAGAGTAAGTAAGTAAGTTCTGGACAAATATATCTGTGTGTGTGTTGATTATTATGGAAGTGTGGATACAAACTGTTCGGGATTTAGTTATAACACAAAAGTTTAAATAGATACTTTATGTATATATGTTAATAATTTATTATGTTCATTTGTAAAAAGGTACACAAACAAAGTGATTAGTATGCTAAATACTATTATTACAGTTATTAACGACCTATAGTTGCCAGATTATAATATTTATTGCCATAGTGGGTCATTAAAGAAACTAAATTATATGTAAATCTTGACACATCAAAGGTGGGAGGGGGTGGAACAATGCTTAACGTTTGCATAGGAAGTGAAGATTTGCACTGTCCTCAGCTACCAATATTTCTAGAACTGCTGATTGCTTTCATTTATGGTTTTTGCTCAAATTAACCTCTGCTCATGTGCTTTTTTCATCATCTGCTTTGATTTAATTATCCAGGTTTGCTTTAATACCTATCTCCGGAATTTATTTTTTAGTTTTGGCGTGAGGAAGAATTGAAATTTCTGTCTGACTCTTACTTTAGCTCATAACCCCTCATTAGGGAGCTCACTTCCTGTCCCTGTGAAGTCAATGCTGTCCAAGAAACCAGGAGAATGGCTGGCATTGCGACAGGAGGGCACAGATAGCAGCAAAATACATTATAGGAAGTTCTACCCTTTCCCCACTCTACTAAAAATGTGTTTTTTTTTTTTTTTGCCTGTGTACCTAATTGGTACACAAAGCAATTAAAGCTCTGACAAATGTTCAAATGCTTCTCTGCTCTATCTAAAAGGAAATTAAAAGTTTTAGCTGTGGTTTGCTTTTAAGTTATACAAAATATATAAAAGAGAAGCTCCTTACAGCTGATATGCCTCCCATTCTCTTTTGCAGTACCAGCTAAAACCTCGAAGTCAAAGCATAATGTCCACAACACCAGAGCCCCCTGGAAATGACTCTATCATGAGAAGGAGTAAAGAAGATGTGCCCACATTTAGGTCAGATTACTATATCCTGTCTAATGTATTTTTTTTTTGTTAAAGAGTAAAAGTTTCTGCAGGAGATTCTAACAATAATAAACTCATTGTCTGAATTTATCCTAATTATTTTAACAGTGCTGCTGATGAGGACAATGACAGCATAGAATTAGATGGTAAGTTCTGAAATACAGTATCTGCTATGTTAGATTAAAGTAACCATGCACACTCGGTTCAAACATCTACAAAAAAATGATATCACACTTGGAGAATACCTTTCTCATCCGACAGTCAAATGCCTACATTCTGCTGAAACCCAATAGACTATGACTGGTGGCAACTCTTTCCTGACCATCAGCAAAGAATAATGAAAATAGCGGAAAATTAGATATTGTCTAACACAATCCACCTTGACAAGTAGATGTTCTGACCTGGTATCATGATGGGGTCACAAAGCTGCCGAAGAATCCAGTCTTAGCTTCGGCTGATCCTTTAGCTAGCTTCGGTTGCGGGAGCCCCTCGGTTCAGTCGAACTGAAGGGCTGCTGTATGGGTTATTCACTATAGCACGTAAAGCACCTGAAGGCAGCCGAGCCAAAGGCATTTGCTTGGGCTCGACCAAGCCGAAGTGTCAGCCGAAGCAGGGCGAATGGCCAGGCAAAGGCCGGCCTTTCACCCTGCAAATGACAGCTGTGATGTCACGGCTGGCTCCACCCAGTTGTAATGACAGATCAGTGTTCCCAAATGACCTGGGGACGCTGAACTGTCATTAAACAATCACAACTGGGCGGAGTCGGCCGTGACGTAACGGGTGGCTTCGCCCAGTTGTTATTCATTGGAGGGACCTGCTAGAAGACTCTAGTAGGTGCCAGCCAATAGGAAGCAGTTGGGTGGAGCTAGCTGTCACTGGTAGCTCTGCCAAATTGGATTTTTTTTAATGATTATGTTTTTTCTTTGTAAAAAAATCTTTATATTTTAATTTTTCAATTTATTTACATTTTTAAAATTATTTTTTAACTTTTTAAACTATTCTCCTTGATTTTCTATTCTGCTCGGTACCACAGAGGTACCGAGCAGAATAGCCGAGCCGAATGTTGCTTGGCGGCATTCGGCTATTCACTCACTGCTGTTCGGCCCCATTAGAATAGGGACGAACGGCAGCAAGTGAGCTGCTGGAGCTGGTGAGTTGAGGTTAGCGATTCTTATGCTACCATGTTGTTGCCATCAACAACCTCACTAGTTTAATATAGGGAGTACAAATAAAAGCTACTTAGGTAAATAATAATTAAATCAATGAGGATACCTATAACCAAGCTTACTAAGAAATCCATGCTTTCCCTTTAAAAACAGGATTTTTAGTGGCAGTGGAATATTATCATTGTATTTCCCCATCATCCCTACGAGTGGGTCCATTTAACAAAATACATTTACAGCCATTCTGTAAATGCTGATCCACTCTCTCACTTTTAAAACCTAAATGTACTAATACAATTTATTTTGTCTTTGCAGATGAGTTTCATGACCGATACTCATATGGACCTCCATCTATTCATTCCTCTTCTTCTTCACACCAGTCAGAAAGTCTGGACAGCTATGACCTTGAGCAAGTTCATTCTATGTTTCGAAAGCTGTCTCTGGAAAGGTAACTATATTATACTCGCTTTATGAATTCCCACTGTAAATTATATTATTTATACACCACAATCTCGGGAACATGCTGTTTATACAGCCTCAGCAGTTTGTCAAGCCAAAGTATGCCTACTGTCACAGCAAATCTGTCCAGTTATAGGGGACATGCTGTATGGATTTTCTGAAGGACAATCATGTTAAACTAAATGGTCAGGTATGTGGCTATCTGTTTGTGTGTGTCGATCAATGTTGGCACAAATAATCACGCCAGATTACTAGGTGATTGTCTGTTGGGTGCTAAAGTCTAGTAATTCCTTCCTAACCAAACATGTTTAACTTGTTCACAATAAGTATATCACTTCTGTAGGGTCTTGGGTCCTAATTTGCTTCAGTAAACTCTTATGATACCCATATACTGTACATCAGGAAATTATTTTTGGGTTGATCGAACAACAGCCTTATCATGGCCAACCAATGGAAATAACAGTAAGTGGTGTTAGATATTTTCCCCAATATAATCCCACTGCAGATGTGTTGCCCCTCCTGCCTGTACTGACAAGCAAGCTCAGGTGAACTAAGTGTGCTTGTGTATGGCAAGATCTTTCAGCAGGAATAATGTTCCCGCATGTCCACATGCAGCGTAATGATGGTTTGTAGTTGCACTTCATTTAGAATCATCTATTTCAAAAGCAAGCAAGACTGAATCTATGAAAAAAACAGGAAGGAAACTAAGGTTAGGGGGCACAGGTAGGTCCAGAATACATCTAGGCAAACTCTAAGCACCCACAAAAAAAATCAACAAAGAACAGTCATTGTATGTTGTAAGGATGAAGTGAGTTTTTAAGCCTACATGTCATAGTAAATTTACTCCAATGACATTGTGGCTGGCGTTACCGTATATACTCGAGTATAAGCCGTCCCGAATATAAGCCGAGGTACCTAATTTGACCAAAAAAAACTGGGAAAAAGTATTGACCCGAATATAAGCCGAGGGTGGGAAATGAGGCAGCTACTGGTAGATAGATACCAATAAAATTACATTAATATTTATTTAAAAGAAAAATAACCTAGCTCTGTAAGTGGAAAAGGGGGTACAGGGCTACATATTATGTACTACGGATCATTTAACCCATTCATATTAGCAGAGGATAATTGTAATTGTATTGTTCAGTGCACTCTATATGTAGTATATAGTACATGTACATATAGAGTGCCTGCAACAATACATTTACAATGATCCTCTGCTAACATGAATGGGTTAAATGATCCATAGTACAGGGCTACATACAGATCATTTAATACATTCATGTTAGTATAATTGTAAATGTATTGTCTGCACTGTATTAGCAGTATATACTCTATATAGAGTATATACTGCTAATACAGTGCAGACAATACATAATTGCTTAATAAATCTCCCCCCCAAATCTGCCCTCACTCACTGTGTCCGTGTGCCGGTGATCGATCATCACATCACGGAGAGAGCAGGGACGAGTCAGCGGCGCGCTGGTCCAGTGGGAGGAGCTCCAGGTGGGGTCCTAATTTAGCTGGCTCAGAGGTGCCTGCCCGCTAAATTACAACCCCACCTGGAGCTCCTCTCGCCTGATCAGCGCGCCGCTGACTCATCCCTGCTCCCCTGCCTGACTGGCCGCTGCGGGGGGTTTTTTTTTCTTCTTACTTACCTCGCTGAGCGTCGCTGCTGCTCCGGTGTGCGGTGCTCCGAGCGGGGTCATCTGGCAGTCTCCGGCCACCTAAATTAGGACCCGGAGACTGCCAGATGACCCCGCTCGGAGCACCGCACACCGGAGCAGCAGTGACGCGACGCTCGGCGAGGTAAGTAAGAAGACGCGCTGGCGCTGACTCGAGTATAAGCCGAGGGGGGCACTTTTCACCCAAAAAAATGGGCTGAAAATCTCGGCTTATACTCGAGTATATACGGTACTTTTACAGTGACTTTTACAGTGACATTTTTTGAGACAAATGTGCCGCAGAGATACAAACAGAAAAGCACAGAAAATGCCAGTCATGTCATGTCATGTATTTACTGTATACAATAATAATACAATTTACTGTATATCATATTTTATTCTGTTCAATAATCTGTTGGTTGTCAGATTGTGAATTGTCATCTGTAAATATGGATAAAGTTAGAATTTTTCGCATTAAGGAAGTGTCTGCTTTAGCATAATTAAAACACTTCAGCATTCCTTCAATACACCACTCAAACCCTTTGATTGGTTGTGTTATTTCCGTAAACGCCCTCTTCAGGGATCAGAAAAGATTACTGTATTTGCAGTTCTGTAGCTCTCCTTTACCATCAGAACTGTGAAGCAATGCTAAGAGTCATTTATGAGAGTCGGTGACTCTAAAACAGTATATTAGAATGGACAAAACTGCAAGCGAATTTGTCTGCACAGAGCCAAAGACCAGGTGAACTTTACCAAGTAATTTTCAGTTTTAATCCTGTTTTATTTTATTGTCGCTAATTTATTTTGTAATATTATTTTTTGTAAATATTTTTGAACCTTTTTTCTTTTTGTTCATCAAAATTCTTTATGTTGAATCTCTGAATGCTCTTATCAGAAAGTAAAATAACTTTTTGCCTCTTGGAAGTAAGCTACTGTATTGTAAGCTCTGTTACATTTACGGTATGTTTGAGTGTGGCAGCAAGTGATGCTGACATTTTTGGTGCTTAGATTGTTGTTCTGCAAGTTGGAAAAGATCTGTGCTTTCAGGTCAAGGCTAAACCTCGTTTTTTTCTAGCTGTAAAGGGTGCCTTGGCATCTTTTATAGTGACTGAAGAGCAGCTTCCCACTGTGTTTTCTATACATATATGACATTTATATATTTTATATGTGTCCATTTTCCACCTTTTTAATAGCTCATTCACATAAGTATAGCTATAGATTTGGTTTCAGAAGTGATTTTCTCCAAAGGTCATCCATGCCCCTTATTCATCTGGTTCAGTGGTTCACAAGGGGGGTGCGGCCCGCACCCGGGTGACACCATTGGAGGGGTGACACCAAAATGACTTAGTCATTTTGGTGTCACCCCCTCTGAAAAGTTGGGCGCTCGGTCATGGACCGAACGCTCAACAGTATCAGGAGAGAGGAGGGGACCCGGCGGCATACCTTATCCGGCCGGGTGGCTATCTCCTCCTCTCTCTGCTGGCGTCCATCACCAAGATGGCCGCCGGCAGGTGTCAGAATACTGCCGCTCGTGCGCGATGACGTCATCGCGCACACGCGCGGTGACGTCTTGGCGGGGTGACACTCGGACACCGCTCCGGGTGTCACCCAGCCTCGGGACGCCCCTGATTCTGGTTGCTCATCTTTCATGACTTTTTGGTGAACTAGTGCCTACACTCAAAGTATATAAAGATTTATGACATATAATTGTGACTCTCTCTCTCTCCAGAGTATAGGCCTAGACCAAAAAGTATTTTTGCTATTTCTATAGCTTGCACTGAGATTACATGCTGTTAGTCTATGATCCTTTTTTAACATCACCCAACAACCTCTCCTAACAGCACACACATACACTATGGGGTCCATTTATCAATATTATGCTCACCATAAATAACAAACAATGATTGGCTAAACATTCAAGTGCTTTTTTCACTACTAATTTTTTTTAAAATTTGTACTGGCTTTTCAAAATAAAATATGCAATCATTGTGAATCATTGTGAAAGTTTAGAAGGCTAGATGAAAGGCTTAGTGGAGTATAAGATTTCCAGTAGTTGAATAGTAAATTTTTTGTAGAGGTCTATGCTTTAGAACATGAAAAGGAACAACTAAGGAGGAAATAGAGACAGAGGAATTTGGTTCCGTAAGAAGAGAAATTCCCTCTGAATGAGGGACAGTTGAAAGATAAACAAAATTATGTACAATTTGGAGAAACATCAGGTGTTATATATCAAAACTGTTTCTGCTTCTTATGTACTCAACAGCCTTGAACTTCTGTTTTCCAGGGGTCAATGCAATACATTATAAACATCCACCAGTACACTATGATATCAGAGAGGTTACTTGTTTATTCGCAGCCTCAATAAAATGTCTGGCCTTCATTATAACATAACACCCTCTGGCTCTAATTGACTTCACCTTATGTAGGCTTGTGATGCAGCAAAATAGGATCAATTTTACTTCTCACTTCAATCCAGCTGTCTCTGGGTCTGCTCACACAAATACTGTGTGCAAGCAAACAATATTTATTTTCTACTGATCCACCTCCCCTGACTGAGGCTCTGCTGGGACACAGATGTCGGAGATTTACACTGCACCTCAAGAGCTCTCTTCTCCCAGACTCTGAGCCCAGAATTTCACTTTATATATTATCTGTTTAAAAACAGTGGTGTCTTTTTGAGAAGTATACACAATGTGAGGTATAATATCAGTATTTTTAAATGAACATAGCAAAGTGAATAACCACTCAAATAATATTTTAATGATATTATTAATGTTAAAAAAATATTCTGTAAGAGAACCAGCAGTGGCAAAATATACTGTCCAAATGAGTTTGGATTTGACAGTTAGGTTAATGAAAGCCTGACAACCATATTAGTATAGAGGCACCACAAGAGGGCGCTATTATTTTTATTAGCCACAACAACCTTCCAAATTTTACTTTGCTACTAAGGCCTCAACATTATGGCTTGGTTCTGTCTCTTGGAGCTAAGCTCTACCCTCTAACCAACCCAATCCAGTTACAAAATATCTGTGTCCCATTGGAAAGATCTTATTGGACAGGGGAAAGTTTGTTGTATATGACTAAGCTCCAGGAGTAGGTCCAAGTCCTAAAGTTGAGATGGTAAGAATAAAGTGAAACAAAAATTACAGATATGCAGAGACAAGGTTTTTCTGACTAACATAGAGCAAATAGCAGGTACCTAGGTTTACCTGATCTTAGGCAGATGTAGGTTTTAACTTTTCATTTGCATTAAAATAATATGCACATTTCAACCACTTTATACTATGATGTGTAAAAGGATGGAAAAAGCAACAAAATAACATTTGTGGCTCCTACAGGCCTATAGCCAATGCAAGGCATATGAACTTATGGTGCTGTGTTGCTGTGTACATTTGAAGCACCATTGTACCAAAGTACATTTGAAGCACCAAGTACCGAGAACATCAAGGACAACTGTGCTAAGTCTTTTATTACACATTATAGTCCTTGTTGTTAAATTCCAAAAACATTTTTTGCAGACCCTTTCGCCCATCTGTAACATCTATAGGACCACCCAGGAGCAGCAATCATTCTGTACAGCATGTCACATTGGATGGAGACAATCTTATGATGGAAATCTCATTAGTCGGAGGAAATGAAAGAGGCATTTTTCTTGGTTCTGTTAAACCTGATTCAGGAGCAGAAAAAGCAGGTCTGAAAGTGGGACATCAACTTTTATTGGTAAGTGTATGACTTTATATATGCTAATACATTGCTATTGATTTGTCTAATAATTATTTTCCTAGCCCAGGTGTTATGTACAGGTGTATTGAAAACTGATTTTAGTACACCTGTTACCCTTGCTTTCTGAAAGTGGTGTTTTTGATTGATGGTACAATTAGCATTGGTGCATTGTAGAAGATATTATGATGGTAATTAAAGTCTCAGACTTATTTTCACAGTTAGATGGATGCATCAAAGGAAAAAAACAATGTGTACCCATGGAGAGATGTACCAAAGAAGAAGCTCACTGGGCTATACAAAGATGTAAAGGATTGGTTATTGTTCAATATAAACTAAATAATGAAGGTAAGACAACAATGTTTACATTTACCACTACTATATAGTTTTAAATTCTTTCCACTATTTCCAACATGGAATGTTGTGCTCCTTACTACTGTCCAAAAATATTAAAAATATATATGTATTTGTATAGCCAATAACTTAGTAATTTCTTAATTCTGAGTTTAGTTCACATGATAAAAAAAAGATGAGTACCTATGAATTACACACTGTAAAATGACTTATTGCTGTTCATTCTCTTGCACTTTGTGTTGCAGGATACAGCAAGCTAACTAAGGATCTAGAAGAAGGGAAAGTTCGATCTGGAGACTCCTTTTTTATTCGTTTAAATTTAAACATTTCCAGTCATCTAGACAGCTGTTCACTTTCTGTAAACTGTGATGATATTGTACATGTTCTTGACACTATGCACCAGGGAAGGTATGAGTGGCTTTGTGCTAGAGTTGATCCATTTACTGTACGAAACATGGACATTGGAACAATTCCAAGCTACAGCAGGTGTGTGGGTAAACAGTTGCATCATAAAAGCAATAGAAATATGTGTAAGTCAAATGACATGCTGTATATAGATTGTTAAGTGATTATAGAGTATATAGCTAGGCACTATGAGGTTCATAATGTGCAGAACACTGTATACTCTGGAATATATAACATTCAGCACAAAGTATAAAGCAGGCCAGAATTGTGTATATATTATACAGTAAATCAATTATTAGGAATATTATAAACAAATTATTTCCTATTGGTTAAACGGTATGTAAACAGTAAATCTGTCAAGATGTGTGGCATCATGTCTCACTGTATACATTTTTCTTAAGCAAATCATGTTTCTGTGAAACAGTTGCAAAGGATTCCATGACCCAGTTTGAATGCCTAGCATTCTAGTTTGCACGCCAGCTATAACAATACATTGTATGGTCACTGCTGCACCTGATCAGTTGAGGTTTGAAGGCTCTAAGGAGTGCCCAGGACTTGCATGACTGTCTGTTGCAAAGTTTCTTACCTGGAGAACTGACAACGCTAAACCACTGCCTCTCAATTAGCAGCAGAATTAGCAGCCTTCTGTGCAAGCTTCTTAAGTTGGTCATTGGGCTAATACACAGCCAAATGGCTAACTGAAGGAGCATGTAAAGTAGGGTGACTACGCTGCTGTTAATTCAGAGGCAGTGGCTTAGTATTGTCAGCAGGAAGTGTTGTAACAAGCAGGATCCCCAGGTACTTTTCAACAAAAAAGTGAGCTGTATTGTTTTACATTCAATTACATTTTGTAATGTCAGTCAGATGCTGATAAGCTAACATATATAAATGCTTACCTCCAACATGTGTACTATATGCATCCTACAGGGGCGTAACTAGAAATCACAGGGCCCCGTAGCAAAATTTTGTATGGGGCCCCCGTGATTGCTAGTTATGTCACTTGCAGAGCCCACCTGATATACCAAACAGACCACCTGAGAGTGACCCTGCAGAGCCCACCATAGACTCTCTATAGTGGGCTCTGCAGGGTCTCAGATGGGCTGGACACCTCTTACCTGTCAGCGATGTCCGCCTCCGTGGTCGCCGGGCCCCGCCTCCTCTTCCGTCCCCGGGCCCCGCCTCCTCTTACATCACTGACCTCCACCACCTAAGCATTTAAAAGGTGAGAAATATAGTTTAAAAAAATAATTTTAGGTATCTTGTGTGAATGGGAACACATAGCAAAGAGAGTGGAGTTTTCTCAAATTTGACTGCAAAAGTGGAAGTACACTTTAAACTTTGGACAAGCATTTGGTTACATTTTATTAGTGTCATATTAGTGTCATTTATATGTCAAATATAAACCAAAATATATAATCTCTCTCATACTTTTCCATTAAAAACTGTTTTTTTTATTTGTTAGAGCCCAGCAGTTATTTTTAGTTAAGCTACAGAGATTAATGAACAGAAGCAAGGATGAATTGGAAGGTACAAGTAACACGCTCAAAGCTATGAAGGTAAATGCAGTTTTGTTTCTGTTGGCTATTACAATTTGTTTCTTCCCTTCCACTTAAAGATTCATCATTTTCAGAGATGAGATAATGTGTTTGTTCATAATAAGGCATCCGGTTTTCCTTAAATAGCAATTCCAGGCACCAGCAAAATTAGAGAAAAGGTTCCTAATGGGCCATCCCTTTTTTATTCTCCAGTGTATAAAAACAAGAATTCTGTGGGCACAGACAGGGGGCAAATAGGGGGTCTATACAATGTATTACATCCCTCCCCAAATGAACCGCTAAACCCATTATTTATGAGGCAAAATAAAATTCAATGATATTTGCCACTTTTCTACTTTGCTTCAAAGGTTCAAAGGACTCTACTTTGTGAACCACTCCAAAACAGATCCGCCTTATCCCTATTTGCTACAGTCTCACAAAGCTGATATTTTCCCATCATATTTCTTGCTCATGTTCCGACTACAATACATTCCTATCAGCCTTCACATAAAGCAGAACTGAACCTGAATTGTTTCTCAGAGTATTTGCTATGATTTGCAATGCAAAGCATAGTGGTGATTTTCTGTCACTTTTGAGAGCTTTGATTTTACTTTATGTTGTGTCTCACGGACAAAAAGTAAAGGGAAATATCCCGAATGGGAAAAAAAATAAAACCTGACAGGGGTTCAAGCCATTATCTACACTAATCAAACTTGTACAAAAGTATTGTTTTTAGATACACTTTAAGTGCTTTGTATAATCACATTTAACATAGAAACCACCTTTTCTGACTTGTTACATGACTCCAAAGCAGTAATCAAAAACTGAACAATCCCCTGACTCCTACCATCTTATCACTTTGCTTATATAGTCCTTAATATACTCACTCTTATCTTGGCAAATTCTGTAAACTAATTCCTCAGCACACAAGGACCACATAGAGTGTATACTTTAAAAGCAATCCTTGACAAAATTAATACATCTAGTTCACCATGCAAATAAAAATAAACAAAACTACCTTTATCTTTCTTTGCCCTAGATTATGCCATCAAAAGCCTGTTCTGAGCCTATACATAGGGGCGTATCTGCTGTGAGGCAAACAAGGCGTTTGCCTTGGGCGGCATTTTCCGCCCCACAACAGTCAGGCAAGCCGGGCTGCACAGAATTGGCAGCCTCGACTGCCTAATCTAGCAGGACAGCCAGTTCTGAGGTGACAGGGGACCTTAACGCTGCTGTGTGCAGACAGCATTACGAGCCCTGTCACATCCAAGTGTGCATCGCAGTCGCCAAACATCTCATGATGAAATGAGTTGTTCGGCGGCTGCGATGCACGCTTGAATGTGATAGGGCTCCTAATGCTGCCTGCGCACAGCAGCATTAGGGACTCCTGTCACCCCCGAAGGGCGCTGTTGGGGGGGACGGAGAAATGTTAGGACCGCCCCCGCAGATAACTCTCCCTGCTGCAGACTCAGACTGAGCCTGTCAGCAATTTCTCCTTACAGGCTGTAATCAGCTGCAGCGATCTGTGTCAGAGGGGACAGACAGCCAATTACAGACTGTAAGAAGAAATCGCTGACAATCTGTGAGTTTCCGTCCTCCTGTGCCGTCTACTCACCCTTCTGCTCCTGCTGACAGCCACACGATCGTCCCCATTCCAGCAGCTGGCAGCAATAGCCAGCCTGTTATTGGCTCTTTTCAATTGCAATAGCCAATAACAGGCTGGCTATTGCACCCACCCACTGCCTGCTGTCAATCAGCAGAAGAGGACCTGATGGAGAAATTTCTCCTTCAGGTCCCTCCTCTGCTGATTGACAGCAGGCAGTGGGTGGGTGCAATAGCCAGCCTGTTATTGGCTATTGCAATCTGAAATATCCAATAGCAGGCTGGCTGTTGCTCCCAGCAATAAAGTAAAAAAAAAATGTTTTAAATAAAGTTAAATAAACTAAAATGAAAAATACAGAAAAATCTAAAAAGTTTTAAAAATTGTTAAAAAAACTAAAATGAAAACATGTTTAAAAAGTTTTTAAAAAGTTAAATAAATAAAAAGTAAAAATGCAAAAAAAAATAAAAATAATAAAGTTAAATAAACTAAAATTAAAAATACAAATACAAAAAAAAGTTTAAAAAAATAAAAACACAGCCTCCTGAGACCCAGCCTCCTGAGACCCCCATTTAGTAGGGGGGGGGGTTCTATTGTTTTAACATACTTATAATTAGCTGCCTCTCAACATACCCTAAAACTGTTTAATGGGAAGAAGGCAGATGTGTTCACTCACTTGCACATTAACACTCACAACCTATTAAGTTAAGGTTGCTAGCAATGAATATAAAGTAAATCTATTTGCTGACAACCCAAAGTTATTAACGATAAAAAATAATTGTGTCATTTCAAATGTTCTTAAACATTTGAAGTTTTTTAGCTTCAATTTGGGACTCTCATTTATAAAATGAAAATTATATCTGCTTTTCTGCAATATCTCAGGATATATTCAGGATATAGAAAACACTAGACATGTGCATGGCTGAAAGTTTTGTTTAGTTTTAGAATTTTTTTTTTCATTTTCTGAAATTCGTATCCATTCGACATTCGTTATTCGGAATACGTATCAATCCGAAGTTTTCCTTTTTGGAATTTGGATCAAGTTCTATTCTATTTGGTGGATGGAAATTAGTATGTAATTAAATGTGAAAGTTGAAATAAAAAAACAGCGTGGGCCCCCCCCCCCCCCCC